CCAGAGTGAGACGTAGCGAGACGGAGAGAGACGGAGACAGCGAGAGATGGAGAGAGACAGAGATAGCGAGTGACGGAGAGAGACAGAGACAGCGAGTGACGGAGAAAGAGCCAGAGACAGCGAGTGATGGAGATAGACAGGGAGAGATAACCAGAGTTAGACGTAGAGCGACGGAGAGGGACGGAGACAGCGAGAGACGGAGAGAGACAGAGACAGTGAGTGACGGAGAGAGAGAGGGACAGAGACAGCGAGCGACGGAGGGAGACAGAGAAAGACAGGGGAGGAAGCAGAGCGAGCGAGATGGGCAGAGCGCGGCGAGCGAGCCGTGGCAATCAGAGGAACTGTGGAGTCATCGACGAAATGCGGAGAGTTGTAAATAAAGTGGTGTCGGAGAAAAGAACAAAGTTGTCTGAATGAAGTCTACCACTACATTTGGTGTCAGAGGTGACTACGGAGCCACGCCGACATGTCAAAGAAATGGGCCAAGAGAAAGAACATGCCGACGGACTCGTCTGACGACAGCAACGACGTGGACGTGATTCCCGCGTCCGGACAAGAAGGTGTTACTCCCCCGCAGACACCTGGTCGACCAGGTGTCTGCGGGGCGGGAGGACGGATAGAGCGGGGCCGAGACCCCGGGGCCGGCGCGTGAATGGAGCGCCCTCATGGCCCAGTGGGAGGCCAGGCTGGCAACGCTGACGGAGGCGTTCGACCGCTTTATGGCGACGGATCGGGCGCTGCTGACGGTGTCAAGCCGTCCTGCTGCCATTCCCCCATTGCCGGAACGCGCCGACGACGGAGCCGCACCCTCCGCGGCGCTGCCAGCGGAATCGGACGCCGATGGGGCATCAGCCTCGGGTTCGAAACGGCGGCTTCACGCCTAACGCTTCGAGGCCAAGGTTGGCGATTGGTCGGCATTCACGCGACGGTTCCGAGCGGCGTATCAATCACTCGAATGGACTGAGAGTGACGCGCTGCGGGCCCTGCCGACTGCCCTCGACGACGACTCGCTGGCGACGTTCAACGGGATTCTGGCCGCCGTCCGGTCGACGCTGGCGGGTCGTGTACGAGCCGCGTTCGGTCGCCAAACGTAGATTCCAGCAAAGGAAGCGGGAGGACACGGAATCTCCCCTCGCGTTCCGCAGCGCGCTGTTGGCCCTCGCGCAAGCAGCCTACACGGCGATGGACCAGGAGGCCCTGGACTCTCTCCTCCAGGAGAAGCTATTGCTGTTGGCGAAGCAGCTATGCGTCGTCCTTTCGTTGCCCGACAGCAACAACGACGACGACGTGTCATCTCTACAGATCGCCAGGAACATCCAAGTCAACCTGGACCTCCGCGATGAACCAACGGTGGCACAGCCTCTGATGGTGAGCGCCACCGTGTCCGGGGGCGCGGTGGAGCTTGAGGTGCCGCCGCCGGCTGCAGCGGCGGCCGGATTGCCACCTGCGGGCATGCCACGTCGCCCCACGGTGTACGGAGGTGGCGCGCAGCGGGCGTGCTACGAGTGCGGACGGAGAGGACACCTCGCCCGCGACTGCTGGCGGCGCAGAGGCGGTCTTCCAAGGGCGCCGAGCAACTACAACCAAGGATTTTCCCCGCTCCGAGGTTCCCAGGACCGCCCCTATTAACTCGGAGGAAGTGTTCTGGCAGATTTTCTGGCCGGAAGCCGGCTGGCCAGCCGCGACCTCAGGAGACGGCCCGGGACGCACAGGAGCGGGGTGCGATCACGCCGGCGGATGATCGCTGTAACGAGGAAGGGCACGCGTCGAAGACAGGACGCAGCCCCGGGTTAACGAGGGAGCGTTCCCCGCCCTTGTCCAATGTTCACCCATTCAGGGGTAATGGGCCGGCCGCTGGAACCCGCTCCCGAGGAAGGACTTTCCGTTGAAAATACGCCTCGTTCGACTGCTGTACACATGTCATTAAGCGACGCCATTGTGGTTAATTGTTGTGTGATGTTATTGTTGCTCACCACTGTTCGGATGTCGGATTGTTGTTGTAGCCGGGATGACTAATTCTTTCATCACGGGGGGGGGGGGGGTGATGTAGTGGAGTAACACGCGCATACAGGGGACAATGGTAAAGACGCGTGAGTGATTGTCAGTGGGGTCATGTCGGGCGCAGGAATGTCTGGGAATAGAGGAGGCAGGCAACAGGTGCAGGAGGACGCGGGGCATCGGGGGCACGTGGCTAATTAATTGGTGAGTAAAGAGACCGGGGATATAAGGGGGAGACGGGAAGACAGAGGGGAGTTGTGATTAGGGCCGGAACGACGCAGGTGGGAGAGAACGGGGAGAAGACATAGGAGACGGAGCAGCTAGCAGTGGAGGGAGACAAGCAGAGACGAGCAGAGACTAGCAGAGAGCGACAGAGATACAGAGGGAAGCAGAGACACAGAGAGAGAGACAGGGAGAGATAGACGGAGCAAGACAGAGAGAGACAAGGACGGCGAGTGAGACAGAGAGTGGCAGAGGGAGATAAGCGGGGTGAGACAGAGAGAGACGGAGAGAGAGTACAGAGGGAAGCGGAGACAGAGAGAGACGGGGGGAGATAGACAAGAGTGAGACGGAGAGAGACAGAGACGGCGAGTGAGACAGAGAGAGACAGGGAGAGATAACCAGAGTGAGACGTAGAGAGACGGAGAGGGACGGAGACCGCGAGAGACAGAGAGAGAGACAGAGACAGTGAGTAACGGAGATTGAGAGACAGCGAGAGACGGAGAGAGAGACAGAGACAGCGAGTGACGGAGAGAGAGAGAGAGACACAGAGACAGCGAGAGACGTAGAGAGGGACAGAGACAGCGAGAAACGGAGAGAGAGAGATAGAGACAGCGAGAGACGTAGAGAGGGACAGAGACAGCGAGAGACGGTGAGAGAGAGAGAGACAGCGACAGCGATAGACGGAGAGAGACAGAGACAGCGAGTGATGGAGAGAGAGAGGGACGGAGAGAGAGACAGAGACAGCGAGCGACGGATGGAGACAGCGAGAGACAGGGGAGGAAGCGGAGCGAGCGAGACGGGCAGAGTGCGGCGAGCGAGCCGTGGCAATCAGAGGAACTGTGGAGCCATCGACGGAATGCGGAGAGTTGTAAATAAAGTGGTGTTGGAGAAAAGAACAAAGTTGTCCGAATGAAGTCTACCACTACATATGCATACGTGTTGTTGACAGAAGTGTTGAGTTTTAGTCAATACGGTATCGGTCAAACATTTAAATGATCCTCTGGAGATAAAAAAACAAGGTCTGGATATCCCGTATGTTGTCCTTATATAAATGAAGGGCATCAGCCATCCTATGGATGTATGTTGAACTTCTTTCGTGCCGTACGTAGCCAACCGTGATAGTCGGAGGTGCGTTGTCGGGTTGGACCGCGTTTTGTCTTGGGATGATGCCCTACGGTTTTCATCCACGTGCTGGGAGCTTATTCAGGAACTGATTTAAAGAAGGGGTCCTGGCACGTGGAGCAGAACGTCGGGCATCGTGCCGAACAGCACGACCGAGAAAGCCGTACAACATAAGTCAAAATCTACGCAGTAGGAATAAAACGTATTCTCGTTTCTCACCGATGCATTTAAATATGGATATTACATATACCATGTATATGTATTAAATATGCATATTGGATTGAAATATGTGAATTCGTCTTCACGACGATCTTTTAAAAAAGCTCAGCGAAGCTGAATCTTTACATGTTACTTAAGTAATATGCATAAATATATTACAATGCACCATATAAATATAAAAAAGTCTCAATTCATCACATTTGAGACGGTCCCTCGAAATAATTTCAAATATATATACCATCACTGAAGCAAAAACGCATTCACAGTTAAGGACGTAAAACAAAAAAGAGATACGTATAATTCCCATCCACTGAACAACAATTTAAACGTGTTCACAACCCACAGAGGCACTCACTCTGTTCCACGAACACACCCGCCATATGTCTTCTGAATATTTAATGCACCCGGGTATTGTCTCTCCGTGAAGCTCAAGGAGCACGTCCCTGCAGCTGCTCATTGTCTGTGCGAAAGCCGCGTGAGTCTGCCCCCTCTTGCCTCGCACGTCCCGTCTGGATCGTACGGCGCTGAGCGGCGGTGCGTGCGCACGTGTGTCCACGTTTACGCGCACGTGCGTGTGCAGGCAGTCACAACCTGACTTACGAACGACTGTACTTACGAACACCCGACTTACGAACACCCCCTGATGGCAAGTCCCCACACTAAAAACGCGCTTTCGCTGCAACACGGTTGTTCCACAGGGGAACGCTTTTAGCACAACGCGGAACGCGCCCCCTGTTGTAACGTGGAAGGCACATCATGTTATAAAAGGGAGCTGTTATAACGCTGAACCATTATAACGCAGAATGCACGCCGTTAAAGTGGGGAACTGTTATAATGCACAACGTGCCATTAAAACGCGGAACGCGCACTTTTGTGATGTGGAAAGCGCGCCTTTAATGCACAATACCCGCGATTATAACGCACGACACGCACCGTTATAATGCAGAACGTGCGCCGTTATAGTGTGGACCGTGCGCCGTTATAGTGTGGACCGTGCTCCGTTATAGTGTGGAACGTGCACCGTTATAGTGTGGAACGTGCACCGTTATAGTGTGGACCGTGCTCCGTTATAGTGTGGAACGTGCACCGTTATAGTGTGGACCGTGCACCGTTTTAGCGTGGACCGTGCGCCGTTATAGTGTGGAACGTGCGCCGTTATAGTGTGGACCGTGAGCCGTTATAGTGTGGACCGTGCACCGTTATAGCGTGGATCGTGCACCGTTATAGCGTGGACCGTGCCCCGTTATAGTGTGGACCGTGCTCTGTTATAGTGTGTAAACCGTGCACCGTTATAGTGTGGACCGTGCCCCGTTATAGTGTGGACCGTGCGCCGTTATAACGCGGTTTCTGAGCAGTCGACGACGAACTACTTTCCTTGAGCTGCGCGGCTGAGCGGTACAATACGGTACGCGGAATGATGCAGTAACGAGGCGGAGTACCTTAAGTTATTTGTTCCCTCCATCTCGCTGCGCGTGCGTAGTAGCGGTACATCGTGTCTCGCCCAAGTTTGATCATCTGCATTGTTTCTGAGGAAAATGTCTCGGCTTGAACGCGTTTTTTGCCCTGACGCGGCGCTTTTCGGGAAAGCATCTAACCCGTAGATGCGAGGACTTGCTGTCTATATGTCATCTCGACTCTTTTTCCCGCCAAATTTGTATCCTCTCCCTCTCTGTTTTTAGCGTCTTTTTTTTTTCGTGCCCAGCGCCTTCATTTATTTCTCTGGCCGTGTGCCCTCTCGTGACGCCGTCCATTCAATGCTGGCCGTGTCCCCGTAGCGCATGCAACAAAAAAAGGGGGCAATGTGCCCGAGCTGCTACGGGTTACACGCTGCATTCTGCATAACTAATCACTTGCCCAGCGATGTAATAATAGCCTTTGCATTAGAACATATTTCGAAGGAGAAAAAAGTGAGGGGGGGGGGGGTGGAGGTTTCTTCCGTAGCGCATTAAAAATGAAAGGATACCACAGCTGAGATTATTACACGTGTATTATATATTATTATTATTACACGCGTTAAACAAATCCCGCCAATTATTCTCAAACTGTGTGTGTGTGTATGCGCGTGCACACATTGCTCGTGAATAATGCAGCGAGGCTTGTTCGGATTTGTTTTTTTTGTTTGTTTGTTAATTCTTGCAGCAGGAGATTTGAGCTACGCACTTCAGTTGGGCTTAAAACAACAACGACAGAAAAAGTCATCAGCCCCAAAATGAATTCCTCGCTTTCTCCGTGATCAACTTTTCCTATTCTGCCGCATCTCCACGTTAGCTCCGCGGCGTGTAACACGCCTCTGCTGCTGCCGTAGATACGAGATTTGTCCCTCTCCTGAGTGAATGAGTCGGTCAGATCACTCACCCGAGCGCTCTTTCGGCGAGCGGGCTTTTGTTAGCGTGGCACCCACGCTACGGAACACTTTGCCACTTGAAATCAGTGCAGTTGGAGTCGGTAGATAGATTCAAGTCTCTTTTGAAAACCCCTTTTTTTTTTTAAGTGGCCTTGCCTCTTTAGTTCCCTCGGTTACCCCCCTGGTTCTGTTTTTTTTGTTTCCTGATTTTCATGCGTTGCGCATTCGGGATCCTAGGATGAAATGGGCAATTATACATTTGAATAATAATTATTCTTATTATTGCTACTGCTGCTACTGCTGCTGCATTGCCAGCGGTGCAAAAGCGCATTTAACAACAGCAACAAACCCACTTAAGACATTCAGCGTTAACACCGTGGCCTTGACAGAGTAACAATTTATATTTAATACGTGACGTTACGGTCAATGACACTTGTTGATGGCGCAAAAAGTGAACTGTAAATTAAGAGCATTTTCTACTTACGCATGAGACTCACGCACGCACACGCAAGGGCACAACAGCCCTCTCTCGCTCTGTGAATTCAAGCTGAGTCACATTGGACTACAACAGCTGCCATTCTCCACTAAGTGGCTGTGACGTCACCATGGTTGCTTGTGCCAGGCTAGGTGTACTTTGAGGCCACGTGAAGTGTGAAAAGACTCGCGGGCCACGAGACATGCCCGGGTGTGTTATGAGCTAACTGACTGAGACGAATGGCAAACGCACCACCTGCCCCACGCATTAATGGAGCCTACATCGATGTAGAGAAGGGCTCATAGTATCGACAAACGGCGACGCAAGGGGAAGGAGGTTGAGACTGACGAAGACGGCGTAGTTGAGAAGTCGTCCGCGTGGGACGTGGTGACGGCGATGGTTCGAAGGCTGTGGAGAGAGAGAGGGAGGCAGAGGTCACTCGGAAAGCGGGCCACAGCAGCTGATTCACTCGCACGCACCGTCACGACCTCGACGAACCGCTCACGTGCATCTGCTCAGTGCGCCGAGAACTAGAATCCGCACCTGGGATGACCGAGCCTTTGCATGCGCTGCGCCAGGGCTATGGAACGCCCGCTGTCACCCGTGGTGGTCACGCAAGGCGACGTCACTCACCTTGATTACGTCCTCTCGAGAGACTCACGTGCTTCTCCTGGCCGACACTTCCCACGTATGACCAGGGGGCTCTGGGACTCGTGCGCGGCGCACTTAGATCCTAGGATGAAGTGCGCCTTTTACATGTCAGTCACGATGTTTATTGCCCGCTGCAGGAAGAAAAGCCTGGCACGAGAAGATCGAAGGAGATTCGTCAACATGGAGAGGTGCAACCGTGTTATTGTGGAGTGACTCATGCAGCCAGCTATGGCTCTAGGATTTGGTGTTACATGTTATTTACGTAGTTTATTGTAATAATTCGGTCACAGTCCCTGTGATCACTGTTACGTTGCAATTATGGCTTTATTTTTTTGGTGATTTCGAAAACGTTTTTTGGTTTGGACATGTTTGTTTTGTTGTAGTACGGAGTTAGACTGATGGCCTTAATCTAAGTTTTATTGTGGTTGTTGTTGTTGTTGTTTGACTTGTATCCCACTGGGATTTTTGCACACAGCGTTGGTGGTGTACGGTGATTTTTTCAGAAATATTTTGCTGTTTTTTTCATGGATTTTCTGTTTGCACAGTCACATAGTCACTTTAAGATGTTTTTCTTGTTCGTGTTTTTGTTATTTTTGTTTGTTGTGGTTGCACCCGATTCAAGAGCCGAATGGCTCACAGGGCTATACCGAAATAAATCAACTGAAAAACTGAAACCGGGGGTCAGACAGTGCCTCTCTGCCAGTGCCTTGCGCCGACATTCTGTTAAGGTTGTACGGTTTGATCTTTGTCTGATCAGTGCTGGTTGGTGAAAGGCAGAGAGGGTTGAACAGGGGGCAGGACTGGTGCAGACATCACTCCGCCACTCACGATAGCTGTGGCGAGCAATCAAACAACAACAACAAAAATATTGTAGAGGCTCACTTTACTGATGGGCTCGTCGGCTTGTAATTGAAGTGTCTGTGTGTGTGAGCACGGTAGTGTAGCGGTTAGCGCTACGCTGCGCTACGAACCCAGCGACCCGAGTTCGATTCCCGCTCACGGCCAACACCAGTGACGATTATATCTGAACCGCTCCTGGTTCTCCCCTAGGTCGACTCAGCCTTAAAATGAGCACCTGGTGCGGTGTGTAAACATCGACCATTGGGGAGACAAAGGCGGCCGGGCGTGGTGCTGATCCCCACCCCCTCGTGTGCCGTGCCGGCCGTCATAAGTGCTCGCTAAAAGCGCTTGCCCCAACAGTCTGTTAAGACTATACGGGGGATCTTTGCCTTTGTTTCGATGCCCACCAAAATGTATTTGAGAGTCATATTTGGCCCTCGGTAATACAAAGGATCTCCTCACTCCCCGACCTATTTGTTCTTGAGACGTTCGCCCTAAAAATTGGGGTATCAAAGAGGATGGAAATGCTCCGATCACATCTCTGTACAATAGCAAGGTTCAGGTGGTAGCTCTTATGAGAAATGGTATCTAAGAATGCATGATTTATAGAGAATATCACATCGGGAGAAACATTGAATGCGCTCCGATACATCTCTGTATTTGAAAATACAGACTGTGTTACGGCTAAACGGTGGGGGGGGGGGGGGTCCTTGTCTCGTCTCGCAAATGCACTCACCCGCGCGGTCGAAGGGACGGCTGCTCTATTCTCATTATGAAACGGCTCGCTTTGCCGTTGCGGCATCGCGGCTGAATCACAGAACGTGGGCACGTAAATATTTGATGGGTCAATGGGAAAAGCTATTTGGCGGCGGTTTCTTTTCGCATCATCAACAACAAACAACGACGACGACAATAACAACAACAACAAACAGCAGCAATAGCTGCGCCGCGATCACGCGGACGCAATCACTTCGCAGCGCGGTGTCCACGTGGAGCGCGAGTGGTGGGCACTTCGCCGGCTCGTTCGAAAATTCTTCAACCGCGCTGTCGACGATGATCCTCCAGCGTTGTTTGCTGACGCAGAGCGGTGGGCGCTTCTGCTCATGACTACACAATGGCAAAAGCACAATTGTAATAGATTAATATTGTTGGGAGTTGGGGGAGGGGGAGACACACTTAATTCCTTTACAAGATCTCGGATATGTTTTTATTCAGCCCGGTCCACACCTCAGCGATCAAGTCGCTCAGCTTTGTTTCCACACAACTGAATCGCTCATATGCGCGGACATCTCTGCAACCGGTCGCGGGGAGTTGCGCAACGCACCGGTGGACTTAAGTAGTAACTAATTGGCGCGCGTTGTTTACGTGCTGCGTCGGGTGGTGGAGGGTTACGACACATTTATACTTATGAATAATATTGGTCGCGACAGCCGTCTCCGTGTTAAACTGCTTACAGCAACTTGTAGAGAAGTTTTGTTTTTGTTTTTAAACGTGACGAATCTTACTAATTGGCTGTGTCGGGCGGGTTTAACGACACTTTTGTATTTTACGCGATCTAACCCACACATCTATATTATGGATAACTCGCTCAGATGCAGTTGGCCGTGGGCGACTATGATTTCCCACGCTATTTAGAGATACATTTTCGGGCTGGGCATGCTGTGAGGTTTAAATAATTATTATTATTATTCTCCGTTTTGTAAGAGGCACTTGTGGCGACGTGTCGGCGCGATGTGACCGTAAATGATTTACGGCCGACGTGCATCGGGCGTCTGAGTGGGACATTTCCCAACTGTGCAGGGTTCACCAATCGCTAAATCGTGACAACCGAAAACAAATAACCGCATTTAAATCGCCAATTTGGATCAGATTTGTCCGAGTGGGCTTCTCAATGAGCTTCTCGTCGACCTAAATAATACCCAATTAAATTTGGCAAACATGAAAAAAAATTAACTGCGCTCAGTGAGAACTCACGAATACTGGATTAACTTTTTTTTGCTTGAAATTCCCGAGTGTGTTCTGTTGTTGTTGTTACCTCCGCTCAATAAATCCTCCCTCAATTTGAGCTACACACATATATATGCATGGCGGTTGTCCCGTAAGCTTGCACACAAACAGCCCTTTAATTAATATCGGAGGCGATTCACATTGGGGCGGTATTAATTAAGAGACTGTTAACGAGATCGCTCATCTGCCACGTTGTTTGCTCCTTCCCTACCCCCCCCCCCCCCATCTCGCTCGTCGTACCTCCTTCAATTTATATATTACAACAACAGAAACAATTTTTGAATTCCGAACGCCGCCACCAATTTGCTCGTTCGCTTCGAGTCCATAATTGCTTTTGTGCTACATAAACCTGCGTTAACAGAGACAAACATTTCATCTTCTCGGCGTGCCTCGCGCGAGATCGAGACTCATTAAGCTCGTCTGGCTGAAGTCAACCCGTTGGGCCGGGCTACTTACTGCGCAGGCTCTGTTTGATTAGCCGAGTGTGGGCGCGTCGCGATGCCACGGCCGGA